AATACAGGAGATTCTTTAGGACGTCTCTTAGTATTCCCATGCCCTGTGATTAAAGTCAATGGAAAATTACAGCAACCCAATTCTGATATGACTGCTAATGGCCCAGACCCTTCAGGAATGAAGGTTTGGGTCACCCCACCAGGTAAAGAACCACAATGAACTGAGGTCCTTGCTGAGGGCGAGGGAAATACAGAAAGTCAATCACCTTTGAGCTATATATCAGATTAGGCACAGAGAAGGAAGCACTAACAGAGGGAAAGATAGACTCCACATAAATATCACCAAGAAACCCAGGAACAGAAACTGAAAAGAGACAAGGACCTTCCTCCAGAATTGGCAGAGAAAGCCTTCCCCTAATGCCAGCACCGTGATTTCTGACTCTTAGCCTCCTAAACTGTGAGAAAATAAAGTTCTGTTTATTAAAGGCCCCGTTTGTGGTATTTCTGTTACAGCAGCACTGGAGAACTAAGACAAGTTCAGACACAGCAACCCCAACAGATAGATGTGTGGTCCCAGGGACAGAGGGTCTGGGGCCCTCAGGCCCTCTGTCCCAGGGAAGACTCTCCTCCTGGATTTCTTACAGAGCCTCCCAACAGCCTGGAAGCAGTAGGTATCCCAATTTTTATAGATGAGTGAGCCAAAGCTGAGAGAAGGGAGGAGACCTACTCAAGATAAGACCTGCTCAAAAAGAAGAAGCGGGGAAAAGAATCAACCAAATGAATTAACGAATTGTGATAAATTCATACTGAGCAACAGAAGGAATGAACTGTTCATGCACATAACATGGATGAATGTCAAAACGGTAATACTCAGTGAAAGAAGCCAGAGGGGGGCGGGGTCCCTGGAGTCCAGATCCCAGGGAGAGTGGGACAACAGACACCACCACCAATAGTCTTTGATTATTATTTGCCAATAGTCTATGGAGAACTGGTTCATAATTTCTTATACTCTCTTTTTAGGATTTAGTATTAAATCTTAGGGGAAGCTTTCCGTCGTTTGATTTTGAGTAGTTTAAATAACTTTGGAATTGTTTGTCCTTGAATTATGGTCCATGGCCCTGCACTCAAGGCTAGATGAACTTCAGTTGTAGACCTTCCTGGTCCTGAGCCTCTAATCACCTCCTCATGCTCCTCTGAGACAACTGGCCATTATATGTATTCCCTGTCGATCTCTCTGTACCCATGACCATCTGTCTCTCCTTTCCTATTTCTAACTTTAACTTTTTATTGCCCTCTGTCTCTGTTTTATTTAGTCAGGTTTTCAAAAGCTTTATGTATTCTAACACAAGCATTTGCCTTGATGTAACATTGTGTTCAAATTTATTTTAAAGGCTGCACAATATTCTATCTGGTGGATATTGCACAAATTACTTAATCATTCCCCTATTGAGTCACTTAGGCAATTCCCTGTTTCCCAATACCAAAAAACAAACTCACTGCCATTGAGTTGATTCTGACCTATAGCAACTCCCCCCACAATTGGGTTTCCAAGGCTGTAACAGAAGGAGCCTGTGTCATCTTTCTCCCACAGAGCAGCTGGTGGATTCGAACCACCAGCCTTTTGGTGCCTTAACTACTATATCACCAGAGCTCCTTTACTTCCCAATAGTATAAATAGAACTGCTTGAAGGACTCTGCTCCCATCCTAGACAGTCTAATGCAAGGCAGCGCACTGCCATCGAGTCGGATCCGACGCATAACGACCTCTCCTTGGGTTTCCAAGGTGGTATCTCTATGGAAGTAGATTGCCCAATCTTCCTTCCGAGGAGTGGTGGTGGGTTTTAACCGCCAGCTTTCTGGTTAGCAGTCAAATGCCTTAGGCACTACACCACCAGAGCTGTTCCTAGACAATCTGGCAGTACATTAAATTCTTAAAATATCTAAACAGTTTGATCCACTTCCACTCTAGGAATTTATTTTCATCCCAGTGTTATTTATAACAATTAAAAAAGGTGGGGGGGCGGGGACAACTTCAGGGTCCAGTAGAGGCATGCTTTAAATAAATGGAAATTTAGCAACGTTAATGGATAGTGATTGCACAACATGATTAATGTCACTAAACTGTATACCTGAAAAATATTGAATTGCCAGGAATTGGGTTAGATAGATAGATAGATACACACACACACAACAATAAATAAGTGGATGTCTAGCCACCCAGTGGAACATTATTAGGCAGATAGGATAAGTCATATGGTAGATCAATAGTGACTCATGTATGTATGTATTAAATGTATTAAATAAACTAGCTGGTTGTAAAATGGAGTGTATACCATGAAATTATTTTTAAATAGACTTTATTTTTTAAAGCAGTTTTAGGTTTACAGAAAAACTATGCAGAAGGTACCAGTTACCCAATTAACTGGTTGTCACAGTGACTGGGTAGGAAGCAGATGTGCTCAGGGTCCTACACAAAAAGAACCACACTCTCAGGATGTTGGGAGCACCCTGTTAAGAAATTCATTCCACAGCCACAAGCAGGTGGCTCGGGGGGCCCAGCTGTGAGTAGACATAGTGCTGTCTGATAGGGGACGCCTGAAGATCATGAGTTTGAAGATCCTGAGTGCACAGATGAAGGGAGGTCGCCTCTGCCCAGAAAGCGTAGGGGAGGCTTCCTGCAGGAGGTGACTTTTGGGTTCTGCCTTGAAGGAGGAGTATGATATGAGACGCAAGATGCAGAATTCTAGGGAGTGGGAAGCAGGTATACAAAGGCAAAGGAGCCTAGGCCAATTCAGGGCTCTCAGAGCCCCCTAAAAGTGGCCACCCCTGGGCTGGACAGGAAAGAGGGGGCTGAGGGCCACTTCAAAGCAGCAGAGAGAGGTGGATAGGTGGAGAACAGGAGGTCATAGTGGGGGTGCAGAGTGTCCCCCCTTCCTTCTCTGGCCCTAGAAATTACGAAGGATGTTGGCAATGATGTCGTACTTGGCTTTCTCATACAGTTCCCTGGCAGCAGGCGGCAGCTTGTTGATGTTGGCCTCCAGAGAGGACTCAGCAGAGCGCTTCTCCCGGGGAGCCTGCGGAAGTGACACCGGATAGTCACCCCCATCACCTAAGTTATTACCTTTCTTCATCCCCATGACCATTATTGACCTTTTCCGACCTCCCTAAGGCCCTTCCTGAGGCCAGAAGTCCCAAAGCTGAGACTGAAGCACAGGTAAGCAGGGCGGTAAGGTGTGGGATGCTGGAGATGGTCTGGGGCAGGCCTGGACTCTGGGGACTCATTTCCGTCCTGGCAGTTCCACTTACCTGCCAGGAGGCTCCACCTCAGATTTTAGGTTTTCCAAACGTTAGTTTTGGGGGTGGAGTGAGCCAAGGGATCTCTGAGGGTCAGAACCCAGAGCACCCTCAGTATCCTTGGAACTCCTACTCCCAGACGACTCCCAGCACCCGTCATCTCGGACCTCAGTTCTCTCCCCGCCCCACCTCCTGCCTGGCTAGCATTCATTCATTAAGTACCCCACAAAGCGTGGCTATTAACCCTCCCAAGAGCTTGCACTGAGAGGAGCTTAATCGGCCCCCATTTTCCAGAGAGTGAGCTGAGGGCCAACGCGCTGAAGTCAAGTGCCCAGGCGGCGGCACCTCAGTCCCGGTGTTAACTAAGAAATGAGCCGCCAGCGAAGGGGATGTAAGGAGTTAATAGGGTGATTTCAGGCAGCGGCCTGGACTTGGGACTGCCAGGCAGGGAGAGGAGAAGCTGGAAAGGGAGAAGAGAGAGGGAGAGGCGGTGAGAAGGGCAAAGGGGCGGGGACCGCTCGGCCTATCCCGTCTTCGCAGCGTGGCGCAGACCCACCTGTTGGTCGCGCGGGGGATCCTTGGAGCATTTGGCCACGAGGATGCGGATTTTCCGCACCATGAGGAAGTTGCCAGTGCACTTTCGCTCCTCCTGCAGGGGACCGAGGTCAAGGGTTAGAAGCGTTGGGGCCACCCCGAAAGTTGGGAGCTGCCTGGGTCCCTAAGCCTAAGGGGCGGTGTAGACCAGTGCGAACGTGCCTGCCTCCTTCCCTCCCCCCACCCCGCCCCATGGGATTTTCCCTAATCCTCCCTCAAACCAATGATGCTGGCCCGAGGGTGGTTACCCCGGAACCAGGGGTGAAAGACATTCTCTTCTCTTAAAAGAGCTATCTAGAGCAACTAGATGTGTACCCATTAAAATAAAGAAGGTCCCTGTAAGCCAATTATAGGGCAAAGGCATATATAAATCAGTGTGCCCAGAGGAAGCCTTATTTGTTTAAAATCTGCATGGGTACCCAAAAAAAGATACAGAGAATGGTACACCAAGTGTTTAATGTTGTCTATCCCTGAGTAGTGGAGTTACAAGAGATTTCTATTATGTTTTATTTTGCTTCTCCACATTTTCTAAACTTGCTGTAATTGTTACTTTTCTAATTTTATTTTAAAAATGCAGTTTCCTCTAGGTGGAGTATGACCTACTTTTACTCTTTTTTGAAAAAAAAAAAAATTGTAGCAGGTATTGCTCTTATAATAATGATTTACAATAATTTATATGAAAGGCAAAAAAAAAAAAAAAAGTAGTATTTAAAAAGGCTTCCACATTCAGTGCTCACATGACCAGATGAGGTGAGTGGAGGCAGATAGAGTCCGCCTTGAGGCCCCAGAGAGCCCTTCTCAGGGCAAGAACACTCACCCCGCCCTCCCTGAAAGCACAGTCTTGACGTTGTCTCTGCCAGATTGAGCGGCACACAGTCTCTTTAATCCTGAAGTTGAGAGGGATCCTTGAGGTGGAGTTCTAAAGAAACAGCAAAAAAATGAAAACATGACCATCTTTCTTTTATAGATAAAGAAACAGAGGCAAAGAGGGGTTAAAATTAAACAGTTGGAAGGGACTTAGCCTAGGTCTGCATGATCCAGCACTTCCCACTGAAGCAAGGGGGGTTATTAGGTGGCCTCAGCAGAGATTTAAGGCATGTTGAGCTCTCAGTGGGATTCCACTTAATAGCTGTTTGACCTTGAAGGATCACTTCTTGTCTTTGGCCCTCAATTTCCTCATCTGTAAAATAGGAACAAGAATCTCTGCCCCACGTGCTCAGCTGCCAGGACACCAGCCCAGTTGTTGCCTTTAAAGCAGCTCTGCAGAAGGCCTGAGTACAGGCCAGGCTCCCAGATGCAATGCTTTATCCTTGGGCAAAGCTCTTAGTTTAGCTGCTAGACCCCAGATGAGAATCTTGTTTTACCTGGAGGAACATCATAATAATAACAGCAGTATTAGCTAATGTTAACCAAGCACTTTTGGTCTGTGACAGACACCGTCTCCTGCTTGCTGTCATCACAGATAACTATAAGGCAGGTGTTACTTACTTCTCTGTTTCACAAAAGAAAACCAAGATCCAGGGATACATTGCCCAAGGTCACCCTGGAACTAGACCTCCTACCCTCTTCCCTGGCCTGGGCCCTGTTGACACCCACCAAGCTGTGTGGTGGGATGGCTTCTAGCAGGCGGAAGAGGGGCTTTCCTCTCTGTCGCTGATTGAAGAGTTGCACGGCCTGGGTGACAATCTCCTCATAGCTCAGTTGGTGCTGGGCTGCACAGGCCACCACAGTCAAGCCTACCACCAGCACCAGTGCCCTGTGGATCCCTGTCATTGTTTCTTCTTTAACCCACTGCCACTCATGGCCCTTTTTAGATACTATGCAATCTGTCTCAACGGAAGTAGATTGCCCAGTCTTCCTTCCGAGGAGTGGCTACTGGGTTTGAACCACCAGCCTTCTGGTAAGCAGTCAAGTGCCTTAGGCACTATGCCACCAGAGCTCCTATGAAATCAGTCTTGCTCAAGGGCCGCTGGTGACATGTGGGACTGGTGTCTTTCTGAAAGAGGGTTTCTCCTTTCCTTTGCTAAAAACCCTAGTGTTGGCTAATGTTCTGAAACACCATTAGCCAAGAGGCAAGTAGGCTTGGGCAACAGGCCAGGGCCTAAGAGTGAGTTTGCTTTGGGCCTTGGCCCCCCTGCCTGTGCCACAAGGAGGACACCTCCAGCTCTGAGAGTCCAGGTGTCTTTGCTATTTCTACCTATCTGTTCTGGTTTGATTCCAGAAACAATTGCCCCAAATTTACAAAATTTGCATATGACAGTTCCTCAGCCAAAGTTCACAAAGAGCTGGTCCAATCTGAGGCTGTGCTCAGGTTGACATCGACAATATTACATACATTGTTAAAAATTGGTTGTCAATTTTTTCAAAGATGAATCCTTTTGCACATACAGTACTGTGTTGTCAGTGAAGGCAAACACTGGTATACAGGTAGATAGATGGGTGGGCAGGCTGAACTATTAGGTATGTCTATGCAGCAGGGATTGTACCCAAGACCATGTATAGGGTTGGCAGACAATGGTTCTACAAGTGTATTTGTATGTTCTGTAAGAATTCCCAGGGGTATAGTAGAGCTGACAAGGGACAAGGTTGTAGTCACTTCTTGGTCATAGCCAGCTATCCAGAGGGAGTGAGTAGTTGAACCTGTGGGCTTGGGACCATAGTCGCAGGGGATATCAAGCTCAATTGGCATAATATACTATGCAAATCATCGTTCCACCTTCTACTTTGGCGAGTAGCGACTGGGATCTTAAAAGGTTGCAAGCAGCCATCTAGATGCAACAATGGGTCTCTCCTCGTCCAGAGCAAAGAAGAATGAAGAAAACCAAAGATTCATGGAAAGAATTAGTCCTCGTGACCAGTACACCATGCAATCCTCAGTCTAGATGACTATGAGACCAGAAGAACTAGATGGTACCCAGCTACCACTGTCAACCACTCGGAGGGGGATCTATGTAGGTGATCCTGAATAGAAAGGGAGAACAATGTGGAACAAACTCTAAATCATTTGGGAAAAAAAGGGTGGGGGACCAGGTTTGCTGGTCCGATAGAGCCTGGTGGAACCACTAAGACTATGGCCCCTAACTGCCCTTCAGGTCTGGAATTGAACCCACACCTGTCGCTTCCAGCCAAACAAAAGACAGGCATATGAGTTGAACATGTACCTGAGGTAGATACACTCCTTGGAGAAAACAATCATGGAAGAAAGAAGGGCTATTTATGCACAGGGAGACAGCTCGGGGGCAGGAGTGCACAGAGGGATGGACACAGAGAAGAGGTAACTATCAGAGGTGAGAGGGGAGCTGTTGCATTGGGGTAAATTGTAGTCAATGTCATGAGACAATGTGTGTGTGAACTGCTGTATGGAAAGTGAATTTGCTCTGTAAACTTTCATCCAAATCATAATTTTATATATATACATATAAAGCATTAAAATAAAAAAAAGCAATGGAATTTCATGTAAAAAAAAAAAAAATTGGTTGTCAGTTTTTTAAAAACCTGGGTGCCTGACTTACTTTGAGAAATCATAAGATCTGACAATCCAGGGCCCAGAGTCCCTCATTACCTGTGATGGTGGCAGCCCCTTCAGGGAGAGATTTGCTGTCTGCTGCCCCCTGGTCACCCACTGCAGGTAAAGGCAGGGCGAGGGAGGCTGACCCCTGTAGGATCACAGTGAGGATTCTTGGTTGCTCAGACAGGCAACCCAGAAAGCAAGGCCCACATCTACCCTGTGAGGGCTCCCATTTTCTAGGCTCTCTTGCCTGTGGGAATCTGCATAATAAAACTTCCACCAACATTGGATAAGGAGCTCCCATTCCCCTGAAGGAAATCCAGAAGCTGTGGAGGAGGATAGCTGCTGTAGGGTGTTCTCACTAAGGCCCACCGTGGAGAAACTGAAGCATGGAGCAATTCATGATATTGTCCCTCTTTCTCCACAAGCTAAGTTTAGAGCCAAGAAAATCAGAGCTCAAAGTGGAGGAGAGGTAGAATGCAGAGCAGTCCTGGGACCTGAGTTGGGGTAGGGGCTCTGGAGGCTCTGGAGGGAAGCTGGAGGGTGCAGGAAGTAGGAAGTGGTCCCCCACTTGCAGAAGGCCCTTTCAGGTGAGTGGTTCTACTTTACAATCACTTATGCTGCACGAAGGCAGCACCTCAGGTGGCTGAGACTTGTGACTCCTTTGGAACATCCTGCAGCATCCACACTTCCTTAAGAAGATGGATGGAGCAAAAAGTTTCACAAGGATGGGAGACCCGTGAAGCAAGAACACTGGTAAACCCTTGGGCAAGCCCCTGCCCTTCGTGGGCCTCAGCTTCCCCATTACTGTGATGGGGTATGAGGAGATGGGCACAGATTCTGGAAAACACTGAGCTCTTGCCCAAGGAGCCTGTGCAAGTCACTGCCATGGAGAAAGTGGCTGTGGCCACATTGGCCCTGGCCACATTGGCCCCATGGGAACTCAGACCACAGGTGTCCCAGAACCAACAGTGTGGACATAAGTTGTTCTATAACTCAGACCTTGGCTAAGAAGACACACAGGTTCACCCAGCCTTGGCCCAGTGGCTTGGCACCCTCCAGGAGGTGCTGCCCAGGCACTGGGCTCTCACTGACAAGGCCAAGAGGACTCAAAGTTCTGTTGCATTTGACTGTGCCTCTGCTCACTGCCTGGCACCAGGCAACCCAAGAGGGTCAGTTTGTCCAATCCCAAAAGCCCTATCTACCCTGGAAGCTCTTGCTATCAGAGGCCTGAATTTGGAGGTTTGTTCTAGGCAGGGACCATTCACAGACACTGGTAGTGGAATGACCCTTGCCCAAGAATTAAATCTGGTCCTGAGGAAAGAAACATAATTTCAAATTTTCTGTTGGGCTTTAGTGCAGGCAATGGGATGTCACGCCCTGCCTTGTGGCAACACTGTGTCTTGGCGCCATCTGCTGGCAGAGTGAACCTTGGGTACAGGGAGGTGTCTAGCTTTGTGAATGGGACTCGAGTCCCTGACCTTCCTGCATAGTTGCAAACCAGGCATGTTGGTACTTTTTCTAGAAGTAAAAAAGGTGAGCATTTGGGACCCTCTGAAACAACCTGTTTTTCTGCCTAATTGGGAGGAGTCTGCTACAAAATCCTCTCTTCAAGTTCCAGGAACCCAGTGGAAAGAAGGAACACAATGGGGACCCTTCCTGCTCTGGTCTCTACTTCCAGCTCTGACATTAGGAGAACACCTCCTTCCTCCTCTCCCCTCCTCTCCTCTCCTCTTTTTCTCCCTTCCTTCCACCATATCCTACCTCTCCTCTGAGCCTCTCTCAGAGCCCATATGGTTTTTGGGGCAGCCTCTTCCCCCACCCCATGCCTTAGTTTCCCCATTTGTCATGCAATTCTTATCTAAGAGAAATGGTCATGGGGGAGAGCTCTGTGTTTCCTTTTTGGGATGGTCATGACAGTTCTTCCTAGATATACCTTCTGGTGCTGTGGACAGAAGTCTTTCCAGGGTGTACAGACACCCACAAGTGTCACAGATCACATGGGACATGTAGCATGAACTCGACTAGATAATGCCAAGTAAAGTGGTGGCTCCAGGTTATGGTCCCTTGTGAAGTGGATGAGTGCTCATGTCACTCCACATCCTCACCAGTACTTACTGGCTGATACATACTCATCAATCTGATGAGTATAATGTGGCATTTCATTGTGGTTTGGGTTTGCATTTCCCTTGTTGCTGATGAAGTTGGACATCTTTTCATGTTTTTGGTTGTTCCTGTTCCCTGTGAAGTTCTCATCCAAATTGTATGCCTATTTTTCTATTGTTGTTGTTGTTAGGTGCCGTCAAGTCATCTCCAACTCATAGCAACCCCATGTACAGCAGAACAAAACAGTGCCCAGTCTTATGCTAGCCCCACAATCTTTGCTGTACCTGAACCCATCATTGCAGCCACTGTGTCAATCTAGCTCGTTTAGGGCCTTCCCCTTTTTCGTTGACCCTCCACTTTACCAAGCATGATATCCTTCTCCAGGGAATGGTCCCTTCTGATAACATGACCAAAGTAAGTGAGATGAAGTCTGGCCATGCTCCTTTCCAAGGAGCATTCCGGCTGCACCTCTTCCAGGACAGATTGGTTAGTTCTTTTAGCGTCCGTGGTAGTTCCAACATTATTCACCAACAACACAACTTAAGAGCATCAACTCTTCTTCGGTCTTCCTTTTTCATTGTCCAGCTCTCACATGCATATGAGGTGATTGAAAATACAATGACACCACAGTGTCAACCACACCTTAGTCTTCAAGGAAGTATCTTTGCTCTTCAGGACTTGAAAGAGGTCCTCTGCAGCAGATTTCCCCAGTGCTATGACGTCTGATTTCTTGACTGCTGTTTCCATTGGTGTTGATTGTAGAACCAAGTAACATGAAGTCTTTGACAACTTCAATCTTTTCTCCATTTATCATGATGCTGCTTATTGGTCCCATTGTGAAGATTTTTGTTTTCTTTGTATTGAAGTGTAATCCATACTGCAGACTGTAGTCTTTAATCTTCATCAGTAAGTGTTTCAAGTCATCCTCATTTTCAGCGAGCAAAGTTGTGTCGTCTGCATAATGCAGGTTGTTAATGAGTCTTCTGCCAATCCTGATGCCATGTTCTTCATATAGTCCAGCTTCTCGGATTATTTGTTCAGCATACAGATTGAATAAGTATGGTGAAAGGATACAACCCTGATGCACTCCCTTCTTGATTTTAAACCATGCAATGTACCCTTCTTCTGTTCGAACGACAGCCTCCTGGTCTATGTACAA